AGAAGATCATAAAATTTTATTTTTACTTAAGCCCACACGGGCCTGTGCCGTGCCACGAATCAGGCTGGTCCGCAAGCCAAGCTAGGACACGAACCGAGCTAAGCCTATTCATGGGCTTGGTAGCTCAATAGTTCAGCCCGACCCATTAACAACGCTAAATTAATTATTAAATAATTTGAGATAGCCTTTACCAATATTGTGTTGATAATACATAAAGTTTTATTTATTTACTTACCTATTTTACTAAATTATTTAATTGGTTAATAATTTAATAATCTAAAAAATTACCATTCCTAGCAAAGTAAGATATAAATCGTGTATATATTTATATATATTTACTCTCTCACTTGATTGTCTATTTATCTCATTTATTTTATAAACTTATTATTATTATTTAACTATTTACAATTATTTCACTATATAAAACAAAAATACAATGACAAAAGTCACTTCTCCCTCTTTCACTCTATTGTCCCGTGGCCATAATTGTTTATTTGTTTATTTATTGTTTTATTTTATTAAATTAAATATATTATTATCCATAAATTTTTATTTATTTTAAATAGATTTTTTCCAATAAACTTTTAATTAAAAGTTTTACCTTTCGCAATTTTTTTCCTATATAATAATTTACTTTTAACAAACCACTTACCATCATGTTTTGCCCTACAACACAGGGGCCCCTCCGCTAGTGAGATTATAATACAAAGGAAATTGATTTATAGAAGAGACTTACCTCTTTTACTAATTGGTTAAATAATCACTTAATTTCGGCATTCTCTACCCCTTCTGATTTTTTTTTTTTTGAATCAGAATGATTGTCTTGATCAGTTCACTAAGAAAGCCAAAGATTACTGAAAACAGAAAGGACCAAATGTATGCAGAAAATGAAATTTTGGCTGTTGGGGGTTGGGAATGAATTCGGATTTGCTTTCCATAGTGTTGTTACTCACACTAGCCTCATATACATTGTAGTCGTGAATTGAAAATATCTCTCGTATTTGTATATTATTGGGAAATGTTTCTAATGCATAGTTGAAAACATCTTTGGGAAATGTTTCAATAAATCCAGATTTGTTGAAAACATCTTTGGGCATGACATGTCAATTCATTTAGTTCTCTACTTTTTCTTTTCTTTTTTTTTTTTGTCAAAAGAATATTGAGGGCCACACCCAAGACTGGATCTGCCACTCACAGAGCCCTCTCCACACTGACCTCACAGCCACACCCACGATAACATGTCATGCCCAAAAAATGTACCCTATGCTCAATTTGGAAAGAGTACAAATACAAATATGTACCGTGTCCAATAGTCAAAAGTTTATACAAATGATCTTTGCCTTTGAAGTTTTCGAAAAAAGAAAACATTCTTTAAAAACGGTTTTTTCTTCCTTTGTTCCAGAAAAGTGACCTAAGGTACTTATACTAATAGGATAATCTTAGGCCATGTTTGGTTTGCTATTGTGGGCCTCTTTTTTTCAATTCTTATTCATTCTGAGAAAGAATGAATCACATGAGAGCGTTTGATTACAAAATTCTTGTCATTGGCTTCATTCATTTTAGAATGAAAATGAGTTCATGGCATAAAAATTAAGCTAACTTGCAACATGAAAAATAATAGTCCATCGTATTGTTCATTTTCATTCTTTAAAACAACTCTATGTCGATGATCATAAACCGCTACTCTAGGTCTCAAAAATTGTCAAGATAGATTTTTACCAACGGATGGCCGGTAGCCTATTATGGAAACATATACTAACATATATTGATCGTTGACAGTCCGAGCTTATTTGAAAAATGAAAATAAATTGTATAAGGCACAATTTATAATGTTTTATTATAATTTACGACTTTATTAATATATTATCTTTATTGAATATACTATTATCAAATTTATGAAATTGTTTGATATTTTGTACTTTTTAAGGTTATTAAGTTTATTTTTTATTTTACAAATTTTAGATTCCGTTCTATGCTATTTTCTTTGTTTGCATAACTGCCTATTCAATTCAACAAACTAATTTCTTTTTAATTAGTTTTAAATAGGTGATAATTGCTTCTATAAAAATGAATGAAAATTAAATTTGTGACCAAACAGGTTCAGAATTTATTCTCATTGTTGTCATAAAAATAATTATTTTCTTTTGAAAAAAAAAATATTTGGTTAGTAGCAACATTTTCTCATTCTACCCATTTCTGTCCATTCTATAATTTTATTATTGGAAAGAATGAACAAGAATAAGAGTTGAACCAAACATGGCCTTAGCTTACATAGACTATTCTCATTTCATTTTTTTGTTACCTTGGTTCAATAATTTATAACTGGTGTTGGATGTTGCCCATAGAACTGGTGTTGGATGTTTAAAATGGATGGATATATCTAGAATCTTATGTGATAGGTAAACGCCACTTAGGTTGAAAGGAAAATTCTATAAAACAGTTGTAAGAACAAAGATGCTACATGGAGCAAAGTGTTGGCAAACAAGAAACAACATTTCCAAAAAATGAGTGTATTAAAAGAATAACTAGAAAGACCAAAATGGATAGGTCAGAAATGAAATTATTCCAAAGGAGCATAGGAATAGTTCCAATAGGTGATAAAATGAGAAAACATAGACTATATGGTTTGATCATCACATGCATACAAGACCGTCTATAACAATTGCAAGGAGAATCAATTTCTTGCAAGTTGAAGAGGATGGAAGGGATAAAGGAAGACTAAAGAGAACATGGTTTGAAATAGTAAGAAACTATTTATGTGCCTTGACTATAGAAGGTGCAATTATTTGTGTAACGTCTAGCTCTGTAAACCCTTTACAAAGTGTGGTGTAATTTCACTCACTTCATAGAGGGACCCACTAGAAGGTGCAATTATATGGTTACCAACCTCATAATAAGAGTTGGATGATGATGAGTTACATAATAAGAGTTGGATTACATGTTTCTTGCTTAAACTTCATAAAATGTTTGATACAATTATTAGCTAACGCCCTGTTTGGTTTGTTTCCTATGGTTATCATGCCAGATACTCTCTAAGATGGTGTTTGGAAGTGTGGGTGTTTTTTGAGACCGATTTTCCAAAAAAAAATGTCTATTTTCACAAATAAACACCTTCATATGTTTGGTAGTGTTTTTGCCACGTAGGCAGTAAGCAACACTAATGCTATTTAGTAAGGTGACTTCCATTACCTTTTTTCATGTATGTGCACACATTACACCGTTTTTCCATTGACAACTAAGATACATGTAAGCGCCACATCATATAACCATTGGGGGCAACGGTTTCGCCGATGCATGAATTTGACGTTTCATGCAATAAGAAGGATGCAATTTACAATGCATGCTGGTTTTTCACTATTTTTTTCTTTCAAAAATCGCCTGAACCAAACAGTTATGTAGGCGGTGAAAAGTGAAACCACCTACATGGATCCGACCTAGCACCGTTTTTTAGAAAAACGCTTACGATACCAAACATCTTATAACTATTCATATGATCTCATCTTTTGTATATACCGATATAAAAATAAGGTCCAGTTTAGAAAGATTGCAAATATAAATATATACAATAAAAGACCTTATATACGATATTTCTAAACCTTGTACTTTTCATTTTCCCAAACTAAGCCCAATGTGCGGATTGAGATTTGACAATGCGATTATGCGAATCAAATGGACCTATTCATCTATATCATGAAAAAATAAATAAATAAATGAAAACAACGCAAGGATGTCATAACTGCAAACCGGCTCTACTATTATCCTGATGAACTACTGAATGGACTTGAAGATATTCGGCTGGAAATAGATTTGACCTTTCTTTCTCCGTATGCAATGTCCAAAGCCCATTATGACCAAAGCCCAAGAAGACATTGGGCTTATCTCATGATGACCAAAGCTCAGCTCATGTGCAACTACATGTCTAGATACCGTTGGAATTATGCGAGAACTGAGTATGCTAGCACCAAGGTTTTTAAAACCGGACGGGGAAAGGAGCCGTTATGGGTCCGGTTCCTGGGTCGAACGGTCCATTCTAAAAAAAGTAAAAAATAAATAAAAAATAAAAAGACAGTTAAAAATTATTGTTGGGATCAACAGTTCAACAGTTTGACCACTTAGGTTAATGGACTAAATCAACAATTTTTTACCAAAAAATGATTTTAAGGTGAAACGGAGAAACGGAACCAGTCACCTGACACTACCGCAACAACCATAATAGTATCTAGAGGTGTCAATGGACTGATTTTGAATTTGAAATGAATCTATTTAACCAAAATCGATTTAAACGAATTGAACGGACCAATAAGACATATTGAATTAGACCAATTGACACCCTTATTGCTACCCCTCGTTTCCAAAGGACAAGACCAAGTTGAAAGTTGGGTTTTATGTTGCTAGCCAGAGTGCCAGACTTCTTCTCATCCAAACCAGAAACGATTCTCTCTCCCTCTCTGGTCAAACCGTCAAAGGTACTTAGGTACCGTACTTCCATAAGATATAGCCGGTCTTTATTAAGGTTTACAGAGGGTAGGAGTATCGACCTTTGCTCCCAGTCCCAGCTCTGAACTCTCCCTGAAGTCTTCCTGCTCCTCACCTCCACTACCTGCTCTGTTATTGTTAGAATCATAAATTGTTAACAGAGTCCCACATTTTGACCTGTTTCTACTTTCTACATCAAGCCACCATTCGATATGACATAACAAAGTAGGACCCACGTACACTCACTACTCACTACAGGATCTCAACCATTTGATCTTGAGCTAAGGTCCTTTGCGTAAAGAAAAACACGTCATTCATCTAGCTAGTAGTTACCACTTACCAATCATCGGTTCAATGGATCTTCACTGATTATTCGGACCCTCACCCGGGAGGGTCAAGATCAAGAATTACACAACTTCGAACTGTTCCATTCGTGACACAGCGGTGGCCGGTGGGTTCAGTTCGACCCGTCTAAATAAAATTAATAAATCTACAAACAAACATTGATTGGAGCCTTGGAGGTGGCTAACTGGCTACTGACTAGTGGTAAAGCCAGAAACATCGGCGAGAAAATTAAAAGCACCACATTTTAATAATGATTCTATCCGGGTAAACGGTTCGGGTCAAATGTTAATACCATATTGATCCGTGACACTGACAGAGCGAGCGGTGGATCCAACGAAGCCCGTGGACGCTCCCTGGTCTGGTGGCAATAGATGCTCACAATAAATGTCGACGGTATAAACGGACACGTTTCCGTGTATCGAGCACTACAAAACGCAGACACTACTGCTCAGATTCAGATAAGGCCCCACCGGTCAACAACACTCGACAGACCCATTACTATTCGCCACGTGGACAAAACTATCCACCTCATCAATCTCAACCATCGATTCCCTATTTCGCTCAGAATCCGACCATCTGTACGGCTTGCCAGTTTTCGAAACCATCGACGCGTATGGTACTTGCACCTATCATCAAATTTCCCCCATTGTAGACAGAAGACGCGTCTTTCCAGCCTGGCTTGCCACATTTTATTCCTCCTCGCTCTACCCGCTGGGGACCACAACACAAACTCCCAAACTCTAAATTCTAATTCCTTTCATCTCCTCCTTATCTCTCCTCTCTCCCCTTGCAATATCACACCACACCACTAGGTCTACCGCCTACACCCACCACCACCCCCCGCGATGTCGCCGGGATTCCGACTCTTTCTCCCTTTTATCACTTTGCTTCTACTCTCCACCACCCTAAGCGCCACCAAGCCTCCGCCGCTGGCGGTGGCCACCAGCACAACCGGAAGCCTCCCCAGATTCAGAGAAGCCCCGGCCTTCAGGAACGGCATTGAATGCCCCAAGGCAGTATGGTCTCCCCTGGACCGACGCGCGCACAACCCGTCTATCATCCACATAGCGATGACCCTCGACACTACTTACCTCCGTGGATCGGTCGCAGGCGTCCTCTCCGTCCTCCAGCACGCCTCTTGCCCTGAAAATATCGTCTTTCACTTCCTCGCCTCCCACCGCCGAGCAGAGCTGCGACGAACCATTCTCACTACCTTCCCTTACCTCAACTTCCACCTATACCATTTCGACACCAACCTCGTCAAGGGCAAGATTTCGTCTTCCATTCGTCGAGCACTGGATCAGCCCCTCAACTACGCCAGAATCTACTTGGCCGATCTGCTTCCTTCCGGAGTCCGTCGGATTATCTACTTCGATTCTGATCTCATTGTGGTCGACGACGTGGCTAAGTTATGGCAAATCGATCTGGGTAGCCACGTTCTTGGTGCACCTGAGTACTGCCATGCCAACTTCACCAATTACTTTACCGACAAGTTCTGGTCCGGCCCATTTTTCTCCCAAACGTTTCAAGGTCGGGTTCCCTGTTACTTCAATACCGGCGTGATGGTTATCGATGTCTGGAAATGGAGGGAAGGAAAATACACAGAGAAGCTAGAGTCGTGGATGAGAATACAGAAGCGACACCGTATATACGAATTGGGCTCGCTGCCTCCATTTTTGTTGGTTTTTGCCGGAGACGTGAGAGGGGTCGAGCACAGATGGAACCAGCACGGGCTTGGTGGGGATAATCTGGAAGGTCTATGCAGGGATCTACATCCCGGACCGGTGAGTCTACTGCACTGGAGTGGCAAGGGGAAGCCATGGCTGAGATTGGACTCGAAGCGGCCGTGTCCGTTGGATAGCTTGTGGGCACCGTACGATTTGTTCCGGCACGAGCCACTGTTTTCTGACAGCTAATCAATCACTGTAAAGAGTAAAGCGTTGTCGTTCACGGTCGGCATTCATGATCATTCATGGCGGGACTCCTCTCTGTGAATACGGGAGGCGGAGCGGGTCAGAGAACAAAACGAAACGGCGTTGCTCAAGAAGGGAGAAAAGTAAAAAAGAGAGACGCGGTAATGACGTATGCAAGCGGAGGATCTACTTGGACTTTGTCATCAACGGTCCAGATTTAACAGGGATAAAGATGAGCGATGATGACGATGATTTGTGTAAATTCTATTTTGGGCGACGATTGAACTTAGGAAATGAAGATTTTTTAGTGAAAGAACTCAAGAAAGTTTCATTTTCTAAATTCCAAGTGTGTATATTATTTTGGAATATTCTTAATTTATTTGTTATTGTTTTTGGCAGTGTTTGGTTGCTTGCTTGGAAGTTGCCTGATTAGGGTGTGTTTGGATTCAGTGCTTGCTTTGCTCCTACGATACTAGTTTGATTTTGATGGGGTCAATTCAATTGTATGGAGATATTTTTGGTTCAGTTTTTTTTTTTTTTTTTTGAATATCAGAAATGTGATTCAGGCTATGTTTGGTTTGATAGAGAATAAGAGAGAAAAGGAAAGTGCTTAACAAATTTTGTGAAATCACCTAGAACTTTCTCCCAACTTTCAATTTCTCACTTATTTTCTATCAAACCAAACAAGCCCTGAGCCCCTGATGAAGCTCATCATGTTAATTAGTTGCCAGACCCCATTCCATCTCCTTGATTCACATTCCATCAAGCATAGCTTTTTTCTAGAGCTTTCTCTTATCAAGACTTAAAAGCTCATTAATGGTATCAGATGCTTTCCTTTGTCTATCTATCATATTACACCTTTCCTCCTTCCGGTGTGTTCTTAAGCTTGTTTCCTAATAAAGCTAGTAGGCCCTAAATTCTCTTTCCCAAATTTTTTCTTTTGCTGTAGTTAAAGCCTTGAGTGGAATTATTTCTACATCAATTGCTACTGTCTTAATTTCTATATGTTTTGTCTTGTATCCTTCCCTTTTGTCTCTTCCCACATTTCCATTTAATAACAGCTTTCAATAAAAGATTCTCCCTCTATCTCTGCCTCTCTCCATTCTTGCATCTTTGCTAATGTATTTTAGAGAGAGGTTCTTTGGTTCTTTTCCTTCATTTTTCTCATGATATCCACCTCCATATGATGAGCCTGGTTTTCCTGCGGAAAGGTTATTTACCCCAGATGAGAAATTACCAAAACCCAACTCTGAACTCGTTTCCACTTTTTCACTGTGCTTCTACTTTTTGGGTTGACTCCATTTTAGATTATGACTTAGGAAGGCAACTGGAACCAAAATTAAATGATTTCTTCTCATCTGGATGCAAATATGATGTTGCCATTGAATGTAAGCAAAAACAACTTTTTTTGGTATGTTATTGTCATCCTCTATTTGTCTTACATGTGTCTTTTGTCACTGCTATGTAATCTTAAACAAAACAGGGCTGGAACCATGTATTTCTTTTTCTTTCTTCTTCTTCATATTAAAGCTTGCCGTTGAGTGGTGTTAATGGACCGGTTTTATTTTAGACCCCGTCACATATTGGATTGGATCAATCCGATCCAAAATATTTATTAGATTAGATTGGACCTGGTCCATCCGTAATAAATTTATATTGGATTGAATTGGATTAAGCTGATAGCTGGTTCATTTATATAAGATAAGAATATATGTGTCAATGGACCGGATTTGGATTAAAATTAATCTAAATCAAAATGAAATTTGAACAGATTGGATGGTCCAAAAATTGAATTGGACTGGTCCAAATTGATCCAAAACATTCATTGGATTGGATTGGACCACATCCATTTATAATGAACTCTCATTGGACTGGATCGGATTGGACCAAATCCAGTCCAATTGACACCCCTACCGTTGAGAGCTGACGTGTCAATTTGAAACCAGATGGCAATTGACCTCCATGTGGCAAGTTTTGGCCCAAATAGTTATATTTTTATGTGGGAAAAAGGAGCATCTCTTTATTTTGCTTTTCACTGGAGGAAAGAATAATGATGTAAACAGATGCTACTCTGTTTCATCGAAAGATGACGGTCAGGCCAAAAGAGAGATCAAATCATGTACGCTATGTAAGTTAATTATGGTGCAATTGTTGATAGCTGAACCCTAAATAAGGTTGGGTGGGAGGGGGATTAAGAAGGGTTTAAGCACTTGGTTGAAGCTAAATTTAAGGAACTAATAGAAGATCAAAAGTAAAGTTTATTAACGGGATTAAAAGTTTCATTGGTACTACAGTTGTTTCTTTCTATGTAAAAGGGTTGAAAAACAAAGTTTTGAATGTAACAAGGCTAAATTTATAAGCCATTGAATATCTCTTCCATTCAAAATTTTGGTTTGGAAGAAGAACAAAAGATCTGAAAGACTTCTGGCATGCTCCTTTGGCATCCACTTCCACCATTACGTATACTGCCCTTTGTTTAATGGAGAATCTGAACCCATAGTTTTCTTTCATCTGTCTGAACCCCGCCAGCCTCAAAACTATGTAGGTGTTTGGAATCGGTGCTGGGAATATCGCACCATTTTTTCATAAAAACATTGTTGGGCATGTGGAGTTGTAAGCACTATTTTTTTAGAAAATAGTGTTTATTTCGAATCGGTACTGCCATATAGGTATTTTCTCAGAAAATACTGGTTTTGTTTAGTACCAATGTTGGCAGCAATATTTTCAATATTGATCTATATTATACAACGTCCAAGATGATGCCACATTATTGCACCGTTGACAGCAGCACATTATTTTCTCAGAAAACATTAAATTTTGCATTGCTCCAGACTACACTTTTCCGATTTCCAAGGCATGATCTGGAGTAACGTTTTTTTTTTTTCTGAAAAAACGGTATCAAACAAGAGACATTGTTTGAAGCACCACTTTCTCTGATACAGTGCCTATGTGGCACCATTTTCTCAAAAAAAGGCATCGATGCCAAACATCACCTATGTTTTCGCTGCCAGACAAATATATGCATTATCAAGATCAAAGAAGAAGAAGAATTCAAGATGAAATGGATATTATAACACTTTTCTTTCTTTCATTCAAACTGAGCAATTTTAGTTGTTTATTCATCAAAAAGTTGCAGACATGGCGTAAACTTACACCTCAGAACCAACCTCTTTTTTTAAGTAATTTTGGTTTGGTAGAGATGGTATACTATAACATTTTACAAAATAAAGAAATAAAGCTATGCGTTTTAAAATTGAATTACTGCACAAATAAAATAAACACAAGAAACAAAATAACAAGATATAATTAGAGTACAAATTTGGCACCTTCCTCTACAATTATTGCAACGAAAACTTACATGATGTAGACATCAGAATATTTTCAGCTTTTAGTGATCATATGCCTTTAGAGCTCCTACTCCAGCTCTTGGTTCTAAGAAGTAAAAACTTTATGGTTGAATCTTTGGTTCAGTCTGTTAGGGTACAGTTGAGGGCGACCTCACATCAAAACAAAACAAGCGTTTGGGTGCCATTTCATGAAATTGTGGGGGTGGAGGAACACCTGATTTAAGAATCTGGTTCTTTATGAAAAAATTTTATGGGTTTTTTATTAAATTGGAATTAAAGGAAGAAAACATCACTGTTTTTTTTTTTTTTTTTGAGGTGAACTAACTCTTCTCAAGTGGATCCCACATGTTCATTAGCAAATCAGAATAGTAATGGGACCCATAAAGATGGATGGAAATCGAGTTTCTAGATTCAAGAAGCTTCATATTTGATTACCCAAAAAAAAAGAGGCTTCAAATTTGCATTCTTGAATAAAAAGAATATTTCTATTGCTTAATCCCCTATGAGGCCATCACCATGTATTATGTCCTCTACACTCGGGTGAAAGGTTTTGCATAGACGTGTTCATGAGCCGGGTCGGGCCGGGCCGGGTCAGGCTGGGCTTTCACTTGTCACTAATGAAAATATACTAGGCCCGAGCCCGAGCCCGGCCCGACCAATGGGCCTATAACTTGGGCCCGAGCCTGGCCCTGGTAAAAAGCCCAAGCCCGAAGCCCGATCGAATTGAAAAAAAAAAACAATTTTCCCTATTCAAATAAACAATAGGCCTACAAGATGGTATTTTTCTATTTAAATAAACAATAGGCCTACAAGATGGTATTTTTCCCTTTCTTTTATATTTTAAAACACAATTTTACATTCTTAAATAACAAAATGTATTCAAATGAACATAATCATATAACTAATTTTAAGTTTAATATTAGGCCGGGCTATTTTGACAAAACCCAAGCCTAGCTCGAATTTATTGCGAACCGGGCTTTTTGGCCCGAATTTAAGCCCGCGGGCCGATAAACATGTTCAAGTCCATCCGGGGATCAGGCCGGGCCGGGCCGTGCCGGCCCGGTCTAGTTTTACAGTATCCAAAAGAAATGGGCTCTTTTGGGCCACCCCAAACCAATTTTGATCAACCTCAGCCCAATGAATAAAAAATGTGATGTGCCCACACATGCGTATGGACAAGAAGTAATACTGCAAAAAAAATTTGAGCCCAGAATGGAAGTTGGAACAACCGAACAAGGCCAAAACAGGTCAATTTCGGTGGAGGTTTTTTCTTTTTTCTTTGGTATAAAGCACCAATATGATGGTTAAAATATCCCTATGTTGATTTGTTTATGAAGATTGGCGAAATTTAAATACAATGATGTAACATGACTTAGTTGAGGAATCAATCATACCCTAAAACTGTTACTCAACCTAAACTAATTTGATTTCGAATCTTTTTGGGGGTCAGGTGGGACAAAGCTAGGCAGTTGGTACAAGGCACGATGCCTGTTGACTTTGATGGAATTAGGTTTTCTCTTCTTGGAGTAAACTTATGGGGTAAAGAAACCAATTTTTGTTTTCATTTGTGAATGAAGACTGACAGACGACTATAGCAATGCAATAACTTGGGTAGGTTTAGATCAGGTTCATCAATAGTTGGAGGGGAGTGTTTGAATCCATAAGATTACCAATTTGAATATTTGAGTAATTATTCTAACCCAAATGGAAGCTCAACAGATAAGAATAGGAAGCCTATTAAGTGAACATAGCAAGAATTAACTTTTGGTTGGTCACCTGGGATTGCATTTAAAAATAGGCAAGAAGATAAAGCTCTCGGTGAAGTACTGTTGGGTTTGAATTTTGATGACCCAAGTCAGATATTGCATGATTAAGATGCTTCTCAACATTGTTGAGAAATAAATATTATTCACTGGCTAGGGGTCCATGGCAATGTGGATTGATATAGGGTTGAGAGAGACGTGTCTTTGCCACAAACAACAGAGATGAAGTAAAGAAAAAACAACAAACACATGGTGGACATGGTAGGTATGGCGCTGTACAGTAGTGAATGATAATTCCCTTTTAGTGGGGATGCCAAGTAGATTGCAGAAGATAACAAAGAAAGCAAATGAATAAATGATTAAATGATCCACTACCTATTTTTGCTTAGTCATAAAAAATGTTTAAAAAAAAAAA